TCTCCCTGCCTCTGGAATGTGGATCCAGAGCTCCGGCCCTGCTCAGGAGCTGTCTGCTGTCACCTGGAGCAGACATTCCCTGTTTCCCAGGGCAGGATCCATCCCCTTGGAGCACTGCTGTCTGCACTGCCCGCTCTCAGTCCAGCTCCACGCTGGGCTTCATGATCCAGGCTGGAGAAGGGAGCTGCAACCAGGCTTTTGGAATTGATGTTTAATTTCTTGGGTGTTTATGACTTATGCTGGTTCCTGATAAATTCCGGGTGTGAAGCTGCCTGTGTCCAGGAGCTCCTGATGAAGAACCTGGGGAGCCCCCTCAGCCCTGCTCCTGCTCCTGCTGCGCTGGGGGCGAGGGGCAAGGAGGGAAAATATCCCAAGGTTTCTCCACAGGGAGAGTTTCACCGACTTATCTCTCCTCACCAGGAAAGGGGTGGATAAGGGAGGCTCTTGGCTTTCTCAGCAAGGGAAGTGGGTACTCCAGCTTCCCTGGGTGAGGGGGGATCCTGTCCAGCAGCATCCCGGGATGCAGCTCTCCAGCAGCAGGGCTGTCCAGGAGGGCTGTGCCCGCTGCCAGTGCATTCCAGGTTTGGCCAGGCACGGAGCTGGTGGGTCCAGATTCATGAAGAGCAGGGGCAGGAGCCAGCTGCCTGTGGCCAAATCCCGCCTGGATCACGCTGCCACCGGGGCAGGGCAGAGCTCCTGCCTCGGGATGTGATGGCAAATTGTCACGGGAGCGTCAGCCCCTGGGACCCAGCTCTGACAGGAGCAGGGACTGGATGTGACAGAAGCCTGGAAACAGCCTTGGCCGGAGCCTGGAGGAGCTCTGAGCCAAACTAGAGGTGTTTGTATCCTTCCAGCAGGAGCCCTGGGCTTGCTGGAGAGCGGGAGCACAGGGCCTGGGCTCCGAGGATGCGGGATCAGCCCCGTGTCCCATCCTCACTTCCCTGTGCAGGAGGGTAACAAACATCCATTTGGGAGTGAATTTGGGGGTGAATCAGGGTCCCTTGGAGCACCTCCAATGCAGAGGAACCCCAGGAGCTGTGGGATGCTGATGTGCTCTGGAGTGGGAGCATGAGATGTGCCTGCTCTCTCCAAGCTTGGAAGTGCATCTCTGCACCCCCAGCCTGGCTCGGGGGAGAACCCCAAGGAGCTGGGAATGCTGGGGGGCTCAGCCTGTCCCCCTCAAGCCCTGCGGACTGGAGGGGGACAGTGGCTTCTCTGCTGGTGGCAGCAGGAGCTGGGACATGGACATGGACCCCCAGTGAGGACACCAGCACTGACAGATCAAGGAACTCCCACTCCTGTCTCTCCCACAGACTTTTTTGTTTCCCAGTCAAGCATCAAAATCCTTCCCTGCTCCTCACCTGGGTTTGGAGCTGTGCTTCCATCAGCCCCCCAAACCCATCCCTGCTCCGTGTGCTCCAGTCCTGGTGGGTTTTCCAGCTGATCCAGGAGGTGTTGCTTTACCCAACGCTCCCAAACTTCACGACTCCAAAACTGCTCCCCAGATCCAGCTTAAATTTGGTAGAGAGACACATCTCTGGTGGAGAGGCTGGAGCTCCCAGCAGTTCCCTGGGTGAGCTGTGGAACCTGACTGTAAATGAAAATTCTGGTGTAAAACACAACAGCCACACTCTGCCTGAGCTGCTCCTGGAGCAGAAATTCCCAATAAAACTGGAAAGGCAAGATTGGGAGCGTTCCCTGCTGAGCTCCAGCCTGTCCTGGGGAGTGAGAGGGGCTGGTCAGGGGGGTTAATCAAAACGGGGGTTTTCCCACAGAAACTTGTGTGATCTGTGGCCCATGGGCTGCATTCCCTGCAGGATGTCGTGGATCCACGGAGCCATCCCTGCAGGATGTCAGGGATTCACAGAGCTGTGTAACCCCCAGGGGCTCAGAAGGGGCAATAAATTGCAGGTTTCTGGGGGTGTTACAGCGGTGTCGGGGGATGTAACAATGCCATGGATCACCACCGGGATGGGACACGGCCCCTGTGGGCTCATCCATGGAAAAGGCCATGGGAGGAGGACAGGAGCAGGATGGGGCTCCCGGCTCCTTCCCCGAGGGATGGCTGGTGCTGGATCCCAAGGGATGCTGCAGGGATGGACTCACATCCCCGGGGTGGGGGTGAGGAGCTGCTGCCCGATCGTGGAGCACGAGCCAAAGTGCCTTTGCTGGAGCAAGAGCCGGAGTAATTTATCGGGAAGCTTTTAGGGAAATGAGGCCCTGCTGGGCCCCGGCCAAGCACAGCCCTGCTGGGCTCTGCCCGTGTCCTCTGGCAGCTCTTCCCGGGAGAGGGACACAGGGACGGGAATGGGAGTGGGAATGGGGATGGGATGGGGACAGGGGTGAGGGCAGGACAGGGGCAGGGATGGAAATGGGGATGGGGACAGAATGGAATAAGGATGGGAATGGGACTAGGGATGAGAATGGGAACAGGGATGGGGGGGGGGTCAGGGATGGGGATCAGGGGAGGGGAGAGGGGACAGGGATGGAAATAAGCATGGGAATGGGGATGGAGAGCAATCAGGGATGAGGATGGGACAAGGACAGGGATGAGATGGGTGTGGAGATGGAGATGGGGGCAGGGATGAGGATGGGACAGGGATGGGGGTAGGAATAGTGATGGAGATGGGGACTGGGTGAGGATGGGATGGATCTCAGGATAGGGAGATGGGAAAGGGACAGAGGAGAGAATGGAAATAAGGATGGGAATGGGACTGGGGATGGAGATGGGGACAGGGATGAGGACAGGACAGGAACAGGGATGGGGGGTGGGACCATGACAGGGACAGAGCTGAGCCCTTCTCACACTCCTTGCAGCACCAGAGAGAGAAACAACCACTACCAACTTCTTCCCTTCCTATCCCAAACGCTTCCCAGCGCTATGGAATCACACCCTGCCACTCCTCCTGGTTTGCTGCCACTTTTGCTCCTTCAATCCCCGTGTCTGGGGACCCTGCACAGGTCCTGCTCCCTCCCACCTCCCCTCGCCCGCGGCAGCTCCACCTCCCGGCACATTCCCTTTTAATTTTCCCCCTTTCCTGGCACTCCCTGAATTGAATTATCCCGGAGCAGCCGCATGATCCGCTCCCGCTGCGGCAGAGCGGGAGCGCGGCCGGGACCCTCCTGCATCCCGCCTGCTCCGGAGCCGGATCTGCCATCCCCAAACCTGCCTGAAGAAATCCGTTCTCCCAATTCCCGTTAAAATTAATTGGGCCGCTTTGAAACGCTGAGCTGGGGAGGGGGGGAATCGCCTCATTCCTTTTATCTAATTTGTTTCTTTTATGTCATTGTATTTTCTGGCAAATTAAATTGTCCTCGTTTCCTTTTTGCTTCTCTTCTGTTTGTTCACAGTGTCTATAACAGACCTACTTAAAAAAAAAAAAAAGAAAAAAATATATGCATACACATATGTCTCTGGGGCCACGTGGCTCCTTTGGAAATGCCACTTCATAAAAAAATCCAAACTTTCTGCGGGGAGATGGATGAAATTTCATTACGGACACGGAGCCTCCCGCACTTTGTGAGGCAGCCGGAATGATTTCATTGCCGTGGAGCACTTCCCATTTCCATTCCTCATTTGGACGTTGACTTCAATTTGTTTGATAAATTATATAAGTTAAAAAAAAAAACCAAAAACAAAACCAAACTCCACCCAACCCCCAAATCAATGAAAACGCCACCGATTCCTCCCGGTATCCCAAAAACGGGGTGTCCTCCCGCAGTGCTGCAGGGCAGGAAGTCCTGTGCCAGGGCAGGGAAATGGGTTTTCCCCATGGGATCATCCAGGGTCCCAGGGATGTGAAGGTGGGGATGGCCTGGAATGGGCTCCTCCAACCCCGTTCCCATGGGAGGAACCCCCTGGCACTGCCCGTGGGGAGGGGCAGCAGCTTTGCCCGATTCTCCCACGGCCCCGAGCGCTTCCCCTGGTTTTATTTATTCCTTTGATCTCTTTGCCATTAAAAATGCAAAGAGGGGGATCCATTAGGTGGGAATGGGCCCCTGAAGCACAGGGAGGTGTGAGGCGTGGTGGTTCCTGATGTCCCTCAGCGCAGGGGGGTCACACCAGGGCCAGGGCCAGGCCCCTCCGTGGTAGAAATGAGGGGTAACAGGTTGTTCCCTCCCTGCCAGCCTTGGGGCAGGATCCCCATCCCAGGGATGGTGGCCCCACGGAGCCTCTCTGAGCCCCCCAGCCAGCTCCTGGTTCCCCTGGAATAACTGTGAAGTTGGGTGAAAGCATTTTTGGGAAGGGGCTTCAGCTTGTCCTCCTCGTCAAGACAAATGGGCTCGAAACATCCGTCAAACCCAACATGAAATATCAGGATTAAAACCACCCGGATCCACTGGGAAAGGGCAGGACCCCCAGCAGGATCCACAGCTGGAGTGGGATGGGGGACATGGAGCTGTAAGGAAGGAACCAGGTCGTGGCTGCCCCCAGGTTTGGGGACACTCCAGCCCCTTTGGGATGCCACAGATCCCCCACCCACCGCCCACTCCCTTCCCAGGAGGACTCATCCCCCCTCAGCAGCACCCCTGGGTGCTCCCACAGCCCTCCACCCCCCCCCACCTCGTGTCTCCAGGAGCTCTCACAGCCCAGAGCGCTTCAGAAATCCCACTTTTATTTCAGATCGGAAACAACCAACCAGGAAGAACGAAAAAAACCCAACCCACCCCAAAACCCAAACCCCCCCCCAAAGAATGAGAAACGGCCCCAAATCCGAACCAGTCCAGTGCCCAGGTGGGTGCTACATACAGGCTGGGGGGGCTCGGGGGCTCGGGGCTCCCCGGCCTGGGGTCGCTCCAGCTCTTCCCAAGGGGGGTCGGCTCAAAGTGCATCAAGCAGGAGGTCAGGAATGTCCCCGCGCTGGGCAGGTGGGGAAATCGAGGCACGGCACAGGGAGGGGGGACAGGGGTGGGCTTTGAGGGGGAGGGTGAAATCCAGCCCTTGGCAGCCAAGTCCATGCAAACGCTCCCGGCTCTAGGAACCATCTCAGGCGCGTGTATTGCTTAGGGGATGATTTGGTTTATCATAAATACGAGCTATAACGTTGGATCGGAGTATCCGGCGGGATCCGCCGCGGGGGGGGCCGCGGGCCCCGGCGCGGGGAGGGGGCACACGGGGCTCCATGCACGTTCCATGCACTTACGGGTTGGTTTTTGCCCGGCGAGGGGGGCTCGGGGGGCGGCGGTGTCGTTGCCGAAGTCTCCATGCGATGGCACCGCCCCGGCACGGCGGGGACACCCCCGGCCCCTCGCCGCCCCTCTCCCGGGGGGGGCACGTCTCTGGGCCACGGATGGATGTACAGATATATATTTATATATATTTATAGCTCTCTCCTGCTCGCCGCGGGGCCGCGGGGTGACCCCACTATTTCATGCCGCTGCGCAGCACCTGGTTGGCGGCGATGAGCATCACGCTGATGATGAAGGCGATGGCGAAGGCGCAGATGAGGCTCTTCCGCACGCAGGTCTGGCGGATCTGCTGGCTGGAGCAGGCTGGGGGGGAGAGAAACAGGGGGTTACCCCAAAAACACCCTCCCCAAACCGCGGCGGTGCCGCCCCGCGCCGTCGGAGTCGGGGGCGTTCGGCATCCCCGGCCGGGCACTCACTCTCCACGTCCACGGGGCACTCCTCGGCCGTGCCCATGTGACTCTCCTCCTCCGTCATGATGATGTTCTCGATGTCCTTCATGGACAGGTGCTCGCAGAAGGTCTCGTACAGCAGCCGCTTCAGCTCGTCCACCGTCAGCTTCTGCATGTCACACTGCGGGCACCGGGGTCACCCCGCGGCGGGGGAGGGCTCTGGGGCCTCACCTGCCACCCCGGGGTGTGGCACTTTGGGGCCTTCCCTGCCACCCCGGGGTGTGGCACTTTGGGTGGATCTCCCCAGTCTGGTGTCCCCCTGACCCCCCATGGGTGTTGGCACCAAACACCAGCCCATGGGGGAGAGGGGGCAGGAAAGCTCAGGCTGGTGCACCCTGACCCTGATCCTGACCCTGAACCTGACCCTGATCCTGATCCTGACCCTGATCCTGAACCTGACCCTGATCCTGATCCTGACCCTGATCCTAGTGATTACACTAACCCTAAACTGGAACCTGAGCCTGAGCATGGCCCTCAGCCTAACCCCAACCCTCAGCTTGACCCTGACCATGATATCCATCTTAAACCTGCCCCTAATCCTGACTCCAACTCTAAACCTGACCTTAACCCTTATCCTAACCCTGGCTCTGACCCTAAACGTGATCCTAACCCTGTCTCCAACCCTAACCCTCATCCTAAACCTGGCCCTGACCCCAAATCTGACCCAACCCTAACCCTGACCCCTTAAACCAGTGCTGACCCTGACTCTTAAACCTAAGCTGGAACCTGAGCTTGAACCTAAACCTAACCCTAACCCTAATCCTGACTCTTAAACCAACATTAAACTTGACCCTGACCCAGAGTCTGATCCTGACCTTCATCCTCACCCTAATTCCAACCTTGACCTTCATCCTAACCCTGACCCCAACCCCAATCCCACCTTGAGCCCAACCCCAGCCCCAGCCCTGCCCCTTTCCCGGAGCCCCCCAGAGCTCTGGGTGGGGGTTCTGGGGTGCTGCCCCCGGGGGTGGGGGGTGTTTGTACCTTCCAGAACACGGTGTCGAAGTCGGTGCCGTGGAACTTCTCCGGGATGCCCGAGGTGGAGAGTTTGGGCCCCAGTAACGTCACAAACTCCTCAAAGTCCACCTGCCCGTCACCTGTGGGACACAGGGACATGTGTGACACCCCCCAGAGGGGTTGCAGGGGGGATGACACCCTGCCTGGACTCAGGGATGCTCAGATGTCCCCTCCCCACCCCATGGGGGTCCTGCTCCAAGCCATGGTGTTTTTTGGAAGACCTCACACCAGGGCTTGGTGCTGCCTGGGGACACCCTCCCTGGGGCAGCCTGGGGGGACCCTGATCCTTAGGGGGCTCAGGTAGAACCCAGATCCCCCCAGATGTCCACCTGGAGCAGCAGTTGGTGTTAAGAAACCTTGGACTTCACCAGCCAGGCCCCCCAAACTGGCTGGAGACCCCCAATACCTGCCAGGCCCCCATGGCAGGGACTCCCAAAACCAACTGGGAACCTCCAGTAAAATTGGTCCCCAACTGAGGACTCCCAGTGTGGCTGGGACTCACACTGGACCCCCCCCAGTGTGAGCTGGGGACCCCAAATGTTGACTGCCCCCCTCCCAGAGCTGACTGGGGAAGCCCAACATCATCCCAGACCCCAAATCCAGCCTCTCAGTGCCAGCTGGGGACTGTCACTGCTGTCTGGGGACCCCCAAAACCAACCAGGGACTCCAACACTGGGTGGGGACCTCCAGCAAAGTTTGGGGTCCCTGACACCAGCTGGGACTGCCAACACTGGCTGGAGTCCCCAGTGCTGGAAGGGGACCCCCCAAAACCACCTGAGGACCCCCAGTGCCATCTGGGTCCTGTCCAATGTGACCTGGAGACACCCAACGTCAGCTGGAGCCCTCCAGTTCTGGATGGGGAAAATCAACACGGTCCAGGACGACAAACACCAGCTGGAATTTCAGTTCCAGCTGGGACCCCAATTCCAGCTGTGCCCCTGGTGGTGGCCATGTCCCCAGGGGGTGCTGCCATGCCCTGTGGCCGTGGGGACTCTGGTGTGGGGCTGTCAGGGCAGCACTAACGATGAGTAATGAGGGGAGCAGAGCCTTGGCAGCGCTGCCAGAAAGGCTTTTAAATAGGGGGAAAAGGAAAACCAATAAATTAAGGAGCTCTTTGAGGTCCTGACGGGCTCGGGAGGGACATGGACAGGGACAGGGTGATGGTGGCAGCGGGTGCTCGAGGGGAACAGCCAGCGCTGAGGACACAGCCCAGGGGGCAGGATCCAGCCCAGGGTGCAGGATCCAGCCCAGGGTGCAGGATCCAGCCCAGAGTGCAGGATCCAGCCTTGGCACCACGATCCCAGCAGGCTCAGTGACCCCACAGGCACCCCGGGATTGTTAAATCCTCCCAGACGAAGCTGCGTGGTGAGGATGGTGATGGATGAGCAGGAAGCTCTGGAATGAGGATCACACCTGGAGCAGGCTCATCCCACATCCTGTGTAGGGTCCAGCAGCACCCAGTGGGGTGGGAATGGGGAGAACCGAGTGTTCCACTGGAGCAGGGGCCGGGGGTCCCATCCCTGTGCCCACCCTTGTGCCCACCCTGTGCCCACCCAGGTCCTACCATCCATGTCGAGGCGCTGGATGATGACCTCCAGCTCCACCTCGTTGGGCATGTAGCCCAGGGAGCGCATGGCCGTGCCCAGCTCCTGCTTGGAAATGAACCCGTTGCCATCCCGGTCGAACACCTTGAAGGCTTCCCGGATCTCTGTGGGGGGAGTGGGGATGAGTCCAGCTGCACCCCCCTCAGCACCCACAGATCCCCCTGGGCATCCCACCCACCCCTCCAGCCATCCCGGGTGTTCCCACACAGGGGAGAGGGCAGCACACGCCCCCCAACCCCCCCGAAGGGCCTGACCCCCCCAGGGGGACCCCACAGACCCCGGATCTTTGCTCCAGCTCCGGTCACCCACTCGCGTCACCCACCCTGCCCTTGTCACTGCCAGGCCTTTTGCAGCCAAAAATCCATCATTCCACCCCCAAAACACATTCCTTGGATGTGCCTGAGCTCGGGGTGGCACTGGGTGGGGGCTGCAGGTGGGGGGACCCCCACAGTGCTGCAGCATCCAGCTGGGAGCATCCCTGAGGATCCTGGGTCGGGGTGTGCCAGCACCTCCTGGGGGGTTCCAGGATCACGGAGTGGGACTGTGGCCCCATTTTGGGATTATGGGCTGGAATTGTGCCCCACCCCACAGTCCCAGGGTGGGACTTTGCCCCCATCCTGGCATCCAGGGCTTGAAGCCGGAGCTGTGCTGCACTTCACACCCAAAAAAATCCCAAATCTTGCCGGAATTGCTGCAGTGTTCAGCCTTTTCCCATGAAGAGGAGGATGGGATAGAAGTGGGGAGAAATTGAGAGCATTCGGGGGGTTCTGCCTCCAAACGAACCCTCGGGATGTGGAGGAGGATCCCTGCTGTGCCAGGCTCAGAGGGCAGTGGGGACACTGAGGCACAGGGTGTTCCCATGGGCTCCGTCCCACCTCCTGCTTTGCTCTCTTTTGGGGGATATGTGGAGCTGGAACAAAGCTTACGGAAAAGAAGGACCAGGGAATTTGCACTGGGAACAGTAGGAAGCTGGGTCGGGATGTTGGTGCCTGTTCCTTCTCTGTGCCGGCTGCCAGAGGGATTTATGTAGGATCCCAGCAGGAGAAATGGGCTGAGAACTTTGGTTTCGGGAAGAAAACCCCATGTTGTGTCACATTACCAACCCCCAGCACTTGGGGACATCCCAGCCCGGACGGTGGCACGTCAGTGACATCTTCTGAGGGGTTTTGGGGGAGTTTTAGGGGTTTTTTGGCCTGTCTGTGATGGCTGATCTCCTCCATGGTCAGTGTCCATGCCCAGGCAGGGGATGCTCCTGGGGAACCCCTCTCTGCTCCAGGCACCTCCCAAATTCATCCTTCCAGGATGCTCATCCCAAAGAGCTCAAAGGAGGCTCCTTGTCAGACTGTTTGGGGTGTTGGGGGACAGGCAAGGACATGTCCCAGCAGTGGCCAACCCGTGGCCCCAGCTGGGGCACCCCAACCCTCCCCACTGAACCGGCAGCTCCTCCTGCCCCAGCGGGAAGCCACGAGGGGGGTCTGGGTGTCCCTGATGTCCCCCAGGCTGTGGGGGAGAGGGGCAGGTGGCAGCGGGTGGCAGCACGTCTGGCACCTCGTGGGGTCACCTTGGGGCTCACGTGGCACCACGGGGTGGGCGCTGGGGGGACACCCCACGGGGACACCCTGGGGACAGCAGCTCCTGTGGGTGTCACACGGGGCTGGGTGAGGCACCACGGGATCCTGGGGCACGTGGGGAGTGTGAACACACAGAGAGCAGAGTGTGAGCACACACAGACAGCAGTGTGAGCACACACAGACAGTAGAGTGTGAGCACACACAGACAGCAGTGTGAGCACACACAGACAGCAGTGTGAGCACACGCAGACAGCAATGTGAGCACACACAGACAACAGTGTGAGCACACACAGACAGCAGTGTGAGCACACACAGACAGCAGTGTGAGCACACACAGACAGCAGAGTGTGAGCACACAGTGTGAACACACAGCAGAGTGTGAACGCACACACAGACACCAGTGTGAGCACACACAGATAGCACAGTGTGAACACACACAGACAGCAGAGTGTGAACACACAGACAGCCCAGCGTGCACACACACAGACTGCACTGCAGCGGAGATGGGACACAACTGGTGGTGACACTGGACCTGTGCGTGCACAGACGGACACACGGACACAGCCCATGTGGTGATGCTGTACCTGTGTGTGTGCACACACCAGCAGCTTGCAGGGGTGTACCTGCGTGTGCAAACACACACACACACCCCTTGCAAGGGTGTACTTGTGCACACACACCCCCCTTGTAACGATGTCACACTTGTGTACACACACCCCAACCCCTTGCAAGGATGTACTTGTGCACACCCACACACCCCTTGCACTAACACTGTTCCTGTGCCTGCACACACACGGGTGCAAAGTAGAACCACCTCACAGTGATGCTGTACCTCTGTGTGTGCACACAAAAACATTACAGTGACATGGTTGTGTGTGCAAACACACAGACACCTTGCAGGGGTGTGCACGCACACACACACACACACACAGACACCTTGCAGGGGTGTGCTTGTGCACAGACATGCACCAGACACACCCCCCTTGCAGTGCTGCTGTGCTGGTGTGTGCACAGACACACTCCTGGCAGTGCTGTGCTTGTGCCTGTTCACACACACACAGACACACGGGTGCACTCACAACCAGCTCTGTGCTTGCGTGTGTTCACACACACTCACGGGTGCACTCACACCCCC